TTCTTCATCGGATGGATTGAATTTTAAGGCCAAGAAATTTTTTTTCTAATCAAATATTTATAAAAACAGTAGACAATTATAATATAGTAAATATCATGGTATCAGAAAAGCATACAATTTTTGGTGTCGCAGAATCCAAAACAAGTGTCTTCTCAAATTAGCAATATCAGGACCTAAAAATGCAAATCTATACGGGATAACCACCATATTATAAAAATCAAAGTAAAACAATTGACAAATATACGTATATCTATTTTAAATTTATTTTTCAGAAAGTTTTTATCATGATCAAATGAAACTAATATTAATTAGTTAATTAACACAAATTAAGTAATGATCCCATAAAAGATCGCTTAAATAAATCCTGTAAAATCATCAGGTATCTGAAATTCATAAGTTATAATATAATTTTTCATCAAATCAGATATATTAATATTTTCTTACACATATCTTAAGTGATATGCTTAATTGATTTCAACAGATTTACTTTGATCCACTTGAGAGTTTTAATTAAAGTAATTCTTTTGGGGTTATTTCTAGGGAATACAAAAGAAATCATATGCATAATATGAAGATTTCGATATACCATATATGTACTACTCACTTTCATTATAGATTTGTACTATAAATTTTCACACATGTATATATACATGTATATAGGTATATGCTTTCATTGTAATTGCTTTTAAATATTGTATGTGCTTCCTTCCACCAGTCAATCATTCATTATATCCGTTGATAACCAAAAGAGAAACTCTCTTCAAAAAAAGTCTACGATTTCATTGAATTAAAGATATATAATAAATAATAATTAATTGAATTTTCACCTACCTGGTCTTTTATTAAATAATTAATATTATACATTAATATAGTACTGTTAACCAAAGCAACTTGCATAAGATAAGGATATATAGTAAGATTTTTATAAATGAAATGTGTATTATAAAAATTTACGAAGTCGAAGGAATCATTATCTATAGTAGTGTATAATGAAACAACACGTATCCTTAACTTCACTCCATTTTAATATGTGGAAATTTTTATCCAGTGTAAAGAAATTTTATAGAGAAAGAATCTTAAATCGAAATGCTATTATAATTTAATGAAATCTTTGGAATTAATTTGTGTAAGATAATCTAATAATCTCACTCACCTCTTTCTTAACTTAGTTTATATGAAAGTTTATATATGGTTTAAAATTGAGGTATAGTTTTCCTATTCTTTTGGCACGGATGGATAGAATGGTGCCTCCTTGAAAAAAGTTTAAAAAGAAGTGGATATAGATTTTGATAATAAAAAATCTGATATATATATTTAAACCGTTGTACTCGTATTGAGTACGCAACTAACCACGCAACTCTGAAATAATTTCCTACTCACCTTATTTTTAAAATTTGTGATGATGTGAGATGTGTTCAAATCAACAGAAATATAATATATATAACAAACTTAATTGTTATAATTATTTGGATGCTACATTTTAATGTCCAAGTGTCCTAGTGTCCAATACGACCAAGATTGATACAACAAGAAATTTTGAAGTTAACGCTAGAATTTTTAGAAAAAACAAAAATTTTTATTTTTTAATTTTACTAGTCAGTTTCTTTAAATTTATGTCTACTTTGATTACTATATAATTATTCTTTTCGATCTAAATGATTTATTATTTATCCTTAAATAAACCTTCTTCTTGTTGTGATTAACATATTTTAAAACCTCAATCTGATTTTAGTTTTTCTTCAGATATCTAGAGAGTTCTTGACTTCATATTGTTCTACATTCCACATCAATGTCGTCGGTAGTTAATGTGCCCTTTTCACGCAATATATGTAAAGATTATAAAGATTAATTTTAAACTTCGTACTCGTAATCACTTAATCGTGTAGTATTGCTATTACATTAAAATCATTGTAAATTTTTTACTAGTTTGACAGTCTATAATACTAGGTTCTTCGTAACCTACTTTATACGTGTTCGATTTTAGAGTTCTGGAACTGGTAAATTGACTAGTTTGTTAATAGACAATAATATTGCTTTGTTGTGGTTAGAGTTAATCGTAACTGAATTAATACTAGTATACTCATTATTTCATCACTGGTGAGTTTGAAATTGCATCTCCTACATTATTCTTCATCGGATGGATTGAATTTTAAAGCCAAGAAATTTTTTTTCTAATCAAATATTTATAAAAACAGTAGACAACTATAATATAGTAAATATCATGGTATCAGAAAAGCATACAATTTTTGGTGTCGCAGAATCCAAAACAAGTGTCTTCTCAAATTAGCAATATCAGGACCTAAAAATGCAAATCTATACGGGATAACCACCATATTATAAAAATCAAAGTAAAACAATTGACAAATATACGTATATCTATTTTAAATTTATTTTTCAGAAAGTTTTTATCATGATCAAATGAAACTAATATTAATTAGTTAATTAACACAAATTAAGTAATGATCCCATAAAAGATCGCTTAAATAAATCCTGTAAAATCATCAGGTATCTGAAATTCATAAGTTATAATATAATTTTTCATCAAATCAGATATATTAATATTTTCTTACACATATCTTAAGTGATATGCTTAATTGATTTCAACAGATTTACTTTGATCCACTTGAGAGTTTTAATTAAAGTAATTCTTTTGGGGTTATTTCTAGGGAATACAAAAGAAATCATATGCATAATATGAAGATTTCGATATACCATATATGTACTACTCACTTTCATTATAGATTTGTACTATAAATTTTCATATATGTATATATACATGTATATATATGTTTTCATTGTAATTGCTTTTAAATATTGTATGTGCTTCCTTCCACCAGTCAATCATTCATTATATCCGTTGATAACCAAAAGAGAAACTCTCTTCAAAAAAAATCTACGATTTCATTGAATTAAAGATATATAATAAATAATAATTAATTGAAGTTTCACCTACCTGGTATTTTATTAAATAATGAATATTATATATTAATATAGTACTGTTAACCAAAGAAACTTGCATAAGGTAAGGATATATAGTAAGATTTTTATAAATGAAATGTGTATTATAAAAATTTACGAAGTCGAAGGAATCATTATCTATAGTAGTGTATAATGAAACAACACGTATCCTTAACTTCACTCCATTTTAATATGTGGAAATTTTTATCCAGTGTAAAGAAATTTTATAGAGAAAGAATCTTAAATCGAAATGCTATTATAATTTAATGAAATCTTTGGAATTAATTTGTGTAAGATAATCTAATAATCTCACTCACCTCTTTCTTAACTTAGTTTATATGAAAGTTTATATATGGTTTAAAATTGAGACATAGTTTTCCTAACATATTTTTTTGCCACGGATGGATTGGATGGTGCCTCCTTGAAAAAAGTTTAAAAAGAAGTGGATATAAGATTTTGATAAGGTTAAAAGCATAATAGTTCTAATAGTTTTCGTTTTAGTTAATCTTTCTAATATTATAATAAATGATGAAACAACACGTATCCTTAACTTCACTCCATTTTAATAATATGTGGAAATTTTTATCCAGTGTAAAGAAATTTTATAGAGAAAGAATCTTAAATCGAAATGCTATTATAATTTAATGAAATCTTTGGAATTAATTTGTGTAAGATAATCTAATAATCTCACTCACCTCTTTCTTAACTTAGTTTATATGAAAGTTTATGTATGGTTTAAAATTGAGGTATAGTTTTCCTATTCTTTTGGCACGGATGGATAGAATGGTGCCTCCTTGAAAAAAGTTTAAAAAGAAGTGGATATAGATTTTGATAATAAAAAATCTGATATATATATTTAAACCGTTGTACTCGTATTGAGTACGCAACTAACCACGCAACTCTGAAATAATTTCCTACTCACCTTATTTTTAAAATTTGTGATGATGTGAGATGTGTTCAAATCAACAGAAATATAATATATATAACAAACTTAATTGTTATAATTATTTGGATGCTACATTTTAATGTCCAAGTGTCCTAGTGTCCAATACGACCAAGATTGATACAACAAGAAATTTTGAAGTTAACGCTAGAATTTTTAGAAAAAACAAAAATTTTTATTTTTTAATTTTACTAGTCAGTTTCTTTAAATTTATGTCTACTTTGATTACTATATAATTATTCTTTTCGATCTAAATGATTTATTATTTATCCTTAATTAAACCTTCTTCTTGTTGTGATTAACATATTTTAAAACCTCAATCTGATTTGAGTTTTTCTTCAGATATCTAGAGAGTTCTTGACTTCATATTGTTCTACATTCCACATCAATGTCGTCAGTAGTTAATGTGCCCTTTTCACGCAATATATGTAAAGATTATAAAGCTTTATTTTAAACTTCATACTCGTAATCACTTAATCGTGTAGTATTGCTATTACATTAAAATCAATGTAAATTTTTTACTAGTTTGACAGTCTATAATACTAGGTTCTTCGTAACCTACTTTATACGTGTTCGATTTTAGAGTTCTGGAACTGGTAAATTGACTAGTTTGTTAATAGACAATAATATTGCTTTGTTGTGGTTAGAGTTAATCGTAACTGAATTAATACTAGTATACTCATTATTTCATCACTGGTGAGTTTGAAATTGCATCTCCTACATTATTCTTCATCGGATGGATTGAATTTTAAGGCCAAGAAATTTTTTTTCTAATCAAATATTTATAAAAACAGTAGACAACTATAATATAGTAAATATCATGGTATCAGAAAAGCATACAATTTTTGGTGTCGCAGAATCCAAAACAAGTGTCTTCTCAAATTAGCAATATCAGGACCTAAAAATGCAAATCTATACGGGATAACCACCATATTATAAAAATCAAAGTAAAACAATTGACAAATATACGTATATCTATTTTAAATTTATTTTTCAGAAAGTTTTTATCATGATCAAATGAAACTAATATTAATTAGTTAATTAACACAAATTAAGTAATGATCCCATAAAAGATCGCTTAAATAAATCCTGTAAAATCATCAGGTATCTGAAATTCATAAGTTATAATATAATTTTTCATCAAATCAGATATATTAATATTTTCTTACACATATCTTAAGTGATATGCTTAATTGATTTCAACAGATTTACTTTGATCCACTTGAGAGTTTTAATTAAAGTAATTCTTTTGGGGTTATTTCTAGGGAATACAAAAGAAATCATATGCATAATATGAAGATTTCGATATACCATATATGTACTACTCACTTTCATTATAGATTTGTACTATAAATTTTTTTATATGCTTTCATTGTAATTGCTTTTAAATATTGTATGTGCTTCCTTCCACCAGTCAATCATTCATTATATCCGTTGATAACCAAAAGAGAAACTCTCTTCAAAAAAAGTCTACGATTTCATTGAATTAAAGATATATAATAAATAATAATTAATTGAATTTTCACCTACCTGGTCTTTTATTAAATAATTAATATTATACATTAATATAGTACTGTTAACCAAAGCAACTTGCATAAGATAAGGATATATAGTAAGATTTTTATAAATGAAATGTGTATTATAAAAATTTACGAAGTCGAAGGAATCATTATCTATAGTAGTGTATAATGAAACAACACGTATCCTTAACTTCACTCCATTTTAATATGTGGAAATTTTTATCCAGTGTAAAGAAATTTTATAGAGAAAGAATCTTAAATCGAAATGCTATTATAATTTAATGAAATCTTTGGAATTAATTTGTGTAAGATAATCTAATAATCTCACTCACCTCTTTCTTAACTTAGTTTATATGAAAGTTTATATATGGTTTAAAATTGAGACATAGTTTTCCTAACATATTTTTTTGCCACGGATGGATTGGATGGTGCCTCCTTGAAAAAAGTTTAAAAAGAAGTGGATATAAGATTTTGATAAGGTTAAAAGCATAATAGTTCTAATAGTTTTCGTTTTAGTTAATCTTTCTAATATTATAATAAATGATGAAACAACACGTATCCTTAACTTCACTCCATTTTAATAATATGTGGAAATTTTTATCCAGTGTAAAGAAATTTTATAGAGAAAGAATCTTAAATCGAAATGCTATTATAATTTAATGAAATCTTTGGAATTAATTTGTGTAAGATAATCTAATAATCTCACTCACCTCTTTCTTAACTTAGTTTATATGAAAGTTTATATATGGTTTAAAATTGAGGTATAGTTTTCCTATTCTTTTGGCACGGATGGATAGAATGGTGCCTCCTTGAAAAAAGTTTAAAAAGAAGTGGATATAGATTTTGATAATAAAAAATCTGATATATATATTTAAACCGTTGTACTCGTATTGAGTACGCAACTAACCACGCAACTCTGAAATAATTTCCTACTCACCTTATTTTTAAAATTTGTGATGATGTGAGATGTGTTCAAATCAACAGAAATATAATATATATAACAAACTTAATTGTTATAATTATTTGGATGCTACATTTTAATGTCCAAGTGTCCTAGTGTCCAATACGACCAAGATTGATACAACAAGAAATTTTGAAGTTAACGCTAGAATTTTTAGAAAAAACAAAAATTTTTATTTTTTAATTTTACTAGTCAGTTTCTTTAAATTTATGTCTACTTTGATTACTATATAATTATTCTTTTCGATCTAAATGATTTATTATTTATCCTTAAATAAACCTTCTTCTTGTTGTGATTAACATATTTTAAAACCTCAATCTGATTTTAGTTTTTCTTCAGATATCTAGAGAGTTCTTGACTTCATATTGTTCTACATTCCACATCAATGTCGTCAGTAGTTAATGTGCCCTTTTCACGCAATATATGTAAAGATTATAAAGCTTTATTTTAAACTTCATACTCGTAATCACTTAATCGTGTAGTATTGCTATTACATTAAAATCAATGTAAATTTTTTACTAGTTTGACAGTCTATAATACTAGGTTCTTCGTAACCTACTTTATACGTGTTCGATTTTAGAGTTCTGGAACTGGTAAATTGACTAGTTTGTTAATAGACAATAATATTGCTTTGTTGTGGTTAGAGTTAATCGTAACTGAATTAATACTAGTATACTCATTATTTCATCACTGGTGAGTTTGAAATTGCATCTCCTACATTATTCTTCATCGGATGGATTGAATTTTAAAGCCAAGAAATTTTTTTTCTAATCAAATATTTATAAAAACAGTAGACAACTATAATATAGTAAATATCATGGTATCAGAAAAGCATACAATTTTTGGTGTCGCAGAATCCAAAACAAGTGTCTTCTCAAATTAGCAATATCAGGACCTAAAAATGCAAATCTATACGGGATAACCACCATATTATAAAAATCAAAGTAAAACAATTGACAAATATACGTATATCTATTTTAAATTTATTTTTCAGAAAGTTTTTATCATGATCAAATGAAACTAATATTAATTAGTTAATTAACACAAATTAAGTAATGATCCCATAAAAGATCGCTTAAATAAATCCTGTAAAATCATCAGGTATCTGAAATTCATAAGTTATAATATAATTTTTCATCAAATCAGATATATTAATATTTTCTTACACATATCTTAAGTGATATGCTTAATTGATTTCAACAGATTTACTTTGATCCACTTGAGAGTTTTAATTAAAGTAATTCTTTTGGGGTTATTTCTAGGGAATACAAAAGAAATCATATGCATAATATGAAGATTTCGATATACCATATATGTACTACTCACTTTCATTATAGATTTGTACTATAAATTTTCACACATGTATATATACATGTATATAGGTATATGCTTTCATTGTAATTGCTTTTAAATATTGTATGTGCTTCCTTCCACCAGTCAATCATTCATTATATCCGTTGATAACCAAAAGAGAAACTCTCTTCAAAAAAAGTCTACGATTTCATTGAATTAAAGATATATAATAAATAATAATTAATTGAATTTTCACCTACCTGGTCTTTTATTAAATAATTAATATTATACATTAATATAGTACTGTTAACCAAAGCAACTTGCATAAGATAAGGATATATAGTAAGATTTTTATAAATGAAATGTGTATTATAAAAATTTACGAAGTCGAAGGAATCATTATCTATAGTAGTGTATAATGAAACAACACGTATCCTTAACTTCACTCCATTTTAATATGTGGAAATTTTTATCCAGTGTAAAGAAATTTTATAGAGAAAGAATCTTAAATCGAAATGCTATTATAATTTAATGAAATCTTTGGAATTAATTTGTGTAAGATAATCTAATAATCTCACTCACCTCTTTCTTAACTTAGTTTATATGAAAGTTTATATATGGTTTAAAATTGAGACATAGTTTTCCTAACATATTTTTTTGCCACGGATGGATTGGATGGTGCCTCCTTGAAAAAAGTTTAAAAAGAAGTGGATATAAGATTTTGATAAGGTTAAAAGCATAATAGTTCTAATAGTTTTCGTTTTAGTTAGTCTTTCTAATATTATAATAAATGATGAAACAACACGTATCCTTAACTTCACTCCATTTTAATAATATGTGGAAATTTTTATCCAGTGTAAAGAAATTTTATAGAGAAAGAATCTTAAATCGAAATGCTATTATAATTTAATGAAATCTTTGGAATTAATTTGTGTAAGATAATCTAATAATCTCACTCACCTCTTTCTTAACTTAGTTTATATGAAAGTTTATATATGGTTTAAAATTGAGACATAGTTTTCCTAACATATTTTTTTGCCACGGATGGATTGGATGGTGCCTCCTTGAAAAAAGTTTAAAAAGAAGTGGATATAAGATTGTGATAAGGTTAAAAGCATATTAGTTCTAATAGTTTTCGTTTTAGTTAGTCTTTCTAATATTATAATAAATGATGAAACAACACGTATCCTTAACTTCACTCCATTTTAATAATATGTGGAAATTTTTATCCAGTGTAAAGAAATTTTATAGAGAAAGAATCTTAAATCGAAATGCTATTATAATTTAATGAAATCTTTGGAATTAATTTGTGTAAGATAATCTAATAATCTCACTCACCTCTTTCTTAACTTAGTTTATATGAAAGTTTATATATGGTTTAAAATTGAGACATAGTTTTCCTAACACATTTTTTTGCCACGGATGGATTGGATGGTGCCTCCTTGAAAAAAGTTTAAAAAGAAGTGGATATAAGATTTTGATAAGGTTAAAAGCATAATAGTTCTAATAGTTTTCGTTTTAGTTAATCTTTCTAATATTATAATAAATGATGAAACAACACGTATCCTTAACTTCACTCCATTTTAATAATATGTGGAAATTTTTATCCAGTGTAAAGAAATTTTATAGAGAAAGAATCTTAAATCGAAATGCTATTATAATTTAATGAAATCTTTGGAATTAATTTGTGTAAGATAATCTAATAATCTCACTCACCTCTTTCTTAACTTAGTTTATATGAAAGTTTATATATGGTTTAAAATTGAGGTATAGTTTTCCTATTCTTTTGGCACGGATGGATAGAATGGTGCCTCCTTGAAAAAAGTTTAAAAAGAAGTGGATATAGATTTTGATAAGGTTAAAAGCATAATAGTTCTAATAATTTTCGTTTTAGTTAGTCTTTCTAATATTATAATAAAAAATCTGATATATATATTTAAACCGTTGTACTCGTATTGAGTACGCAACTAACCACGCAACTCTGAAATAATTTCCTACTCACCTTATTTTTAAAATTTGTGATGATGTGAGATGTGTTCAAATCAACAGAAATATAATATATATAACAAAGTTAATTGTTATAATTATTTGGATGCTACATTTTAATGTCCAAGTGTCCAAGTGTCTAATACGACCAAGATTGATACAACAAGAAATTTTGAAGTTAACGCTAGAATTTTTAGAAAAAACAAAAATTTTTATTTTTTAATTTTACTAGTCAGTTTCTTTAAATTTATGTCTACTTTGATTACTATGTGATTATTAATTGTTATTAATTGGAGTCCTGAAAAAGGCCTCCTACAAAAAATCTAAATAGACCTGAGGGTGTACTATAATAATTTTTTTATCTATAAATCGATTTCACCAGAATTGTGAATCATTGCTAAAGAAAATTTTTCTTTGCAAAATTTCTATGCAATAAATAGACGTTTGGTTGGAGTTCTTGCTTCAATGGAAATAAGAAGCAGGATAAGGTTTATTTTACCTAATGCCATAAGACGACATAACGACTCTAATTGATGTTCCGGACTCTTATTCACACTTTGGTTCACAGAGTTACTTTCAACAACCTGTTAACGTTTCGGACGGAGTGGATTCCTTACCCTTAATAATGTGTTAACGGGAAAATATAATTTCTTGATTTTTATTAATTTTAATGGACCATATAGCAGTTTTTCCAAATATTTACAAAAGAAATCTTTCTTTAAATTGACCGTGTAAGATACGTAACATATAATACGATTAGTTATATTTTTGGAAAGTCATTTTAATTTCTGATATATATTAAACATTTTATTTATATTTTAATTAATTACAAATATTTAAATAAATATATAAATAATATTAAATAAAAATATAAAAATGTTTCTTTATTTATTTTTGAACATATTTAAACAAAGATTTATTCATTATTAAAAAGGGTAAAAATTCAGTTCTAAAAATTATTTTAATTGATTGTAAATATTTTATTAAAATGTTTTATAAGTTATATATATTTATTTTTGAATATTTTATATAAATCGTAATAAACTCTTATTTAAGTCTTATTTGTGTGATTTTATAATAATATAAAAAATTGATTTGCTAAGTTCTAATTTCAGTTAATGATATTAATAAGTTATATATATATATTTATTTATATATATTTATATATATTACATATATATTTATATATATATATAGTTATATATATTTATTTTTGAATATTTTATATAAATCGTAATAAAGTCTTATTTAAGTCTTAAGTGTGATTTTATAATCATATAAAAAATTGATTTGCTAAGTTTTAATTTCAGTTAATGATATTAATAAGTTAAGAAATTGAAAATTAGTTATAGTTATAATATTAAAAAAATTTGTCCCAAATAATATAAATAAGTAATTTTAAATTACTTAATTTTAAACATATTACAGACAGGTTTTAGCAGTTTAATAGTTGTGAGTTGTAACAACAAAATTTTATTTATTTGAATCAAATTAATTTTTGGCTCACAATACAGCTGTTCCGAGTGTTATCAAATACCCATCATCAGTGGTCTTTATATACCATAATTATTTCTTATATTTAATCATTCACCAATGATTTTTTAAGACTGCAAGTACCCAGGGTTGAACTCGTACCCTGCCAAATTTGAAGCTCAGAGTCAGCGTTCATTAGCCAACTGACTCAAAGTCGTAGTTAAGCAGGTTTAAACAATATTGGAGTTAGATTTTAATGTAATTTTTTTAAGTGTGTTTAAATGCAATATAAGAAAAGCATTTGAACTAGTTTCATCTGTCCTATATTCTGTAACACTCGTAACAGATTATTTTCTCATTAAAGTAGCGATGATTTAAGTTAGTAAAAGCTGTTCGCTTAGATTTCAAACGAATTTTCTTCTGAACATTGCCGTTGTGGGAAATTTATGTGCATTTCAGCACATCTGATTATGTGGCACTTAATGTAAACTCATGACCAAGTGACCAGTCAATAAATTAGCAGTAAACACAATCAATTTATGTTAAATTTTTTTAATGTCAACATCGTCAGACTCAAACCGATAGGAAACCAGCTTTCTGCGTAAGAACAATTTTCACAGACTTTCTGTTTATTTTGCCTCTCATACTGAATTCAAACAACTTCAACTGGAAAGGAAGCATAGACTTGACGTATATAAAAATTATTGCCGTAGTGTTCTTCTATGTACGTGTCCAGATATATGGAAAGCTTTAACAAGCTTGAATGTGTATATAATTTTTTTGGAATAATTATGAATCACAGTATTGTAAATAAAATAAAGTTAGGAGAAAAATTATAATTATAAGCTTATTTAAGATAAGATACTTTATCGATACTAATACAATGTTCCATGTTAGAATAAGAATGTATCAGATCAGATAAGTGGATCAGCCAAATCTAGTTAACAATTTTGTCAGTCACTACTTGTTTCACTTTTTTCTTCTGAGTATTAATCACGATTTAATTTTATTTAATGGAAACCATAAACAAATTTAACATTGGCATTCTACAAGGCTAACTACACCGCAATGACACTTTCGTTACAAATCAATTGTATATGAATAACCTAAAAAATTCGTTTATAAATTATATCTATCTATCTTTCCTTACAGCCCCTGTGGAAATTTTTATTAAAACACCTTAAAAAACTATAATCTTCCGTACACTAGGCTAATGAAAATAAAAGTCAGAATGCTGTCGTATTGGACTCGCATGAAGATCACTAATGATGGGCATGTGGATGTAGATGAAAAAGACATACGAGATATGCACCACCGACACTTACGCTGAAATGCCAAATGCATTTAGACAGCTACATAATTCTTAATATATCTCCAATACAATTTGCTAGACATTGATTTGCATGACCTCTGTGGAGGACCTCTCTCTTTAACTTTAGTTCAAGTTTCTTTCCAGAATTAAATATATATAAATAATAATAAATTATAGTCAAACATATTTAAATCTTTGATTAATATTAAAAATGTAGCTGCGAAACCATGAGTAACACATTTTAATTTTTCTTTTTTACTTACAATAGATTGAGGCACTTAAGGTGAAACTTCCGTTTTAATCAGTTTTTCAAATAACATTTGTCAGATTCTACAGTTCAATTTGACTTTCAAATAATAAAGAAAAATTGAGTTACCACAACTACATAAATAATTGATTCTTTTTCTTACCAATTCTTTTATGGTATATGAATTTTTAAAGAAGCTGTTGATATGCTTAGTGAAAAAGGCTCTTCCGGTCGACATGGTTCACATGCGGCTAATCCTCACACTGTATGAAATTGTTTGTCGGTAAAATCCATTTAAACTCACATACACATGGTTGTTTTCGACAATTTGGACAAAAGAAAATTATTTCGAATATGAGAATAAACCGATGAATTCTCGCAAACCCAAAGCAACGAAATATATGTATAAATATGATAAAGGACTCTATGGGGTACTACAAGTCTGCAATAGCCTACAATAGAGAACAATGGAAACAATAAACTCAAAACTGTGTAAAATTGATATGCGGACACAAAACAAATTCATTTCTACTCCTCAGCTCCTCAGTAACTAATACGAAATTTATTGATAGACTTCAAATTAAGGTTGACAGAATTATGTGAGCACCACATTTGTCCTGGTAAAGTTAGGGACAGGGATGTGATACACACTTTGATAACTTTTCTATTTGTACAGGTGAGACATAAAACTCCTGTTGATTAACTTTGAAGACAAACTAAGGACATGAAGTTAAAATGCGAACAAGTGACGAAATTTGAGAATAATCAAAATAATTATAGTTAAATAAGTATTTTCCTTATAGTTTAAGATTTACAGCAGAAGAATAAAAAAGGGTTTAAACAATTCTAAAACAAATTGTATTATTATCGAATTTGAGTATACGAATAGTCACCTGAAGTAACTCCCCATCTGCAGTAATGGTATGGGCAGCTGTGACCGTTCAATCCAACGGACGTTCTTCAATCACGCCTGTGGTCAAAGTTCTTGCGATTTACTATTGAAAAGTTGGCTTTCAAAATGGCTTTCAAATTCGCCAGATATAAATCCGATGGCTTATTCCATCTATAACATTTTGTAGAGCAAGGTGAGAAGTAAAAAATATGCCAGTATGGATGTGCTGAAAAAAGCCATTGTTCAGGAATAGGCCAAAATACGGGTAGATCACATTCGCTAAGCATGCAAATTCTTCTTTAACCGTTTGAAGGCCATAGTCAAGGCAAAAGGTAGCCACATCAAGCTAGGGAGAATAGATACTGAAATTCTAATTATTACCATAATTTCTTATGATTTGAATTAATAAAAAATAATTTCACATGAAAACGATATGATCGCTTGAATAGATAAAACTTCAATCGCCGTACAGGGTCAGTACTATAACTAACCATAACTGACAGTTGGCTGAAGACACGTCGTACGTTTCTTATTTGATTGGATTGTTGGATTGTTTAATATTAGTGAAATTTATTAGTGTATTTTATTCAAATATTATATTCAGACTCTCCAAGGAATATCTTAAGTTAGTGTGTGGTTGGTTGGTTGGTTGCAGTGGCAGGTCATAAGATAATTTCAAATGTACCTCAATTAGCGATTTTTCGCCGTTTTGTTACCACATTCCTCGCAAGAACCCTAGTATAGAAGAGTAGAAACTAAATCCATCCCACTGAATTTAGGTAATTCAATAGGCCTTTCATCTTCACCATTGAGCAGTCTGATAAACTATCACAAAAGTATTTTCCTAAGAACCTATATCTTCTGGATGCTAGAGCTGGGCATTCACAGAGAAAATGTATTATTGTTTCTTTCTCCTGCGGGTTTCTACAACTTCTGCAGTTAGTGGGTGAATTATATAATTTTTTTTTAAAGGTATTTTAATCTACTTTGAGTCTTCAGTGCTTTTCACAAAAATATTTTTTAAATTATTTAAAATTAAATAATATTAAATATAAAAATAATATTTATTACTAATTAAATATTTCTTCAGAAATCATTTAAAAATTTAAAAATATTTAAGAATTCAGGATTTCAATGTTGAGGCTATTTCCTTGAATTCTAGTATTGCGAAGTTTGTATAGAAGAAAAATCGTGCTCAAGTGTTAAAGTTGAAGTTTCTTGAAGAATTCACATTTCAGCATTGACAACTTCAACTCTAAAAGGTAACATCAACTCTTGGTATGCAAAGTTT